ATTTTGTTAGTTGTTTAAAAAAAGCTTCATCCACCTCTTCCACCTGGTTAGGTGGCCTGTAGTAGACTCCTAGCATGACAGCACCCTTGTTTTTTACCCCTTTTAGCCTAACCCAGAGACCCTCAACACTTCTGTCTCCTATGTCCATTTTCACCTCAGTTGGTGCCCGGCTCTGCAATCTGTTCTGAAATTCCCATAACCAGATCTGTACTTAAACTGAGTGTGTTTCTCTCTCCTCTCTCCCCCACCCCCCAATCCACTCCAAGTGAGAAAGTGCAGCCAAATAATACCATCACCAAGACATTGATACTTCTGCCCTTGCTGGCAAATAACCGTGAGAAACGGGGCATAGCACTCGATGGAAAGTTAAAGGATGAAGACACCAACTTGGCTTCCAGTACCATGTGAGTCCTATTCTGAAGGGTACCAACTGATAGAGAGTATCAGAGGAAGGGAGGGTAGAGAGAGAATATCCTATAATATCACATTCAGTTTTGCGTATAGGTCAAGTTGGAAGAGTGACTTATATTCATTCAGGCTGGGATCTGTTTCATCTTGGTATGTCCCCCAGGATATATTTCCAGGTATTTCCAGGCTGTCCAAGGTCACTCAATATGTTTAATACCTGAGAATGGGATGTGCTCACTTGGCAGCTTGACTCTAGCCATCTGCTAATAGTGCACTGTGTAGTTCTCACTCTGTTTGTTTTTTTCTTTTTCTTCCCTGTAGTATTAAGGATGGGATAGACAAGACAGTGCTGGGGATTCTGGTTGCCTACAAGGTGAAGGTGAAACTCATTGTCTCAGGGTAAGAGCAATGCACTTGGTATCTGTATAGAATAGAGATGGGAAATGTGCCCATTTTGTAGAGGAATACCCAGTACAGTCCATAGTTAGGAGAAAGGGGGTGCAGTTTAGAACATGCTGACTTGAGATTGGAAGCCTCTAGGCAATGTCATCTCACTTGGCCAGCCCTAAATTCTCCCCAATCTGTAAGGGGAGTATCTTCCTCAGATGCTAGATGCCCCTGCAGCTCAATTCTGAGTGTAGCCTCCTCTGATTTTGAAAATGTGTTATTTTTTATGCTGTAAGAGTGCAAATAGAGCTTCAATCAAAAATGTATCTCCAAGTCCTCACTTGCCTACTGCACAAGGCTGAGATGTTCACCCCTGGGCCCAAACATGCTGTGGTCCAGACCTTCTACCCACTGAGCTTACTGGGAAATGCTGGTGTCATCCCCCACTACTTAGTTCCATGGGGGAAGTTCAGCTTCCTGATATCACTAGCAATATGGAAGGGGACAAGAATAACTCTCAACTGGTGGGAAGTGTTAATTTGCACTTGCATTCAGCATCACCGGATTCTCTGTGTCTCTATCCTCTTATAATCTAAAACAGGGTCAATGGTTTGGCGTGTACTTATGATAAAATAACTATTGTCTTGCATGGTCTCCTGGCTTGTGTTTTGATCCATCCTGTGGATTTAGGGGGCAGCTGTGAATGGAGCCATGTGAACATTTGCTGTTTGAGGTTCAGAACCCCCTTCCCTCAGTCCATAGGATGGATTTGACAAAGTAACACTTATACATAAGTATCACCTAATCTGATTCTTTACAGTCTGATTTCTTATTCTTGCTTGCTTAATTTTTTTGAGCAGAGATGTTTATATTTGAGCATTGCATTGTGCTGGAGAAGAGAGAAAAGTCATGGGAGTGTTTGGGGAAAGGGCCAGTGGGAATTGAATTCAGTGGAGATGCTGCTATAACTCAGTGGTTCATAAACTCATCGAACTACTAAAGATATGATGGACAACTCTCCTCCCAGCCTCCGATTCCAAATCCCACCGCCCCTTTTCTACAGCACTTGATTATACCAAAAAAAAAAAAAAGAATACTGAGAGCACGTGAAGAAGATGAGGAAAATGAACTCACTGTAATATAATGGGATGAGGCTTCCTGGTGGTGCCCACTCCACCATTTGTATATGCTTTTTCTTTCCGACCCTGGTGAGAGGATTTTATGTTCATATGGAATCTTTCTTCCATGCCTGCAGCCCTTACTGCTCTAATTTCTCTAGCTCATTTTGGTTCACTCATGTGTTTATTACCCCAAATTTTGGTGTTCTCTGCGGAATTGATCATAGCTGAATTTACACAGAAGATAGACATTAAGTAACAATGCAGGGTGCGGAGATGGGCTTTGGGTTTCTCTAATTTTATTGGCCTAAAGAACCTCTTGAAAGCCTTGGGATCCTGGATTGTGCTCCAGTGAGCAGGAAATATCTGTGTGGAAACCTTTCAGATGGACCACCTGGAAGTGCTCCGGACCATCAGAGCCCCACCGTCAGAGAGCCATTGTGCTAGATGACTGAAGAGAGAATAGGGCATGGGGGGTTAGCCTGGCTTTGTCCTTTTTGGATGTATTCATGGAGCAAAGACCCCATTACAAGCACTTTTTGTTTTTCTGTTTACCTAGCATGCTGGGAGATCTCACCTCCAGGTAAAGCTGCTACATTTTCTGCCTTTCCAAACCACACAATCATGGCCATGACACTTTGCCTCCTATCCCCACCCCCCACATAAATTAAAAACCCCTTAACCTGTTAGGTCAAAGGACTCTGAATACTCCAGTGTGATAAAGATGTCCATGCTTTAGTTATGTGCATGGTCTCTAGAAAGGAGCAAAACAAGTAACTTAGGACTAAGCGCAAGCCTTGTGCTAGAACCGATGGTAGAGGACAGCAATGGCTGCAGTTGGGTTTTGAGCGAGCAAATCTGAACTTGGTGGTTTTGGTTTTTGTGGGGACAGGGAACTTTGAATGTAGCTGAGTTTTAGGAATGGGTGGAACTGGACTAGTAAACACGGGTAGATCGTACTGGGGAGGTGTAGCTTGACTGGAACAGGAGTTAATGGGCATGTAGGTATGATGCATTCTCTTCTCTCCCCAAAGTGAAGTCAGCACAGAGCTGCCATTCCGTCTCATGCACCCCAAGCCTGAGGAACCGAACATAAGAGGTCAGTAACACCACATTCCATGCTTTCACTACTTACACCATGTCTTGCAGTCTCTTGCATATTATGATGCTCGCTATGAATGCCTTGATTCCTGCTGTAGGGGAAACCTCAAAATAACATCAGAACAGCCATACTGAGTCAGACAAATGGTCCATCTAGCCCAGTATCCTGTCTTCAGGGCTGGCGGTTGCCTAGGGCGGCAGGATTTGGGGGACAGCATTTTGACGCCCTCAGCGGAAATTCGGCGGCAGGGGGTCGTTCCGCTCTGGATCATCAGTGGAAATTGCCCCGAAGATGCGGAGTGAAAGGACCCCCACCGCCGAAGACCCCAGGTCCCCTGAATGCTCAGAGGAGGAGTGCTGCCACCTAGGGCAGCAAAAACCCTGGCGCCGCTCCTGCCTGTCTTTCCACAGTGGCCAGTGCCCAATGCTTCAGGGGGAATGAACAGAAGAGGGCTGTTAATGAGTGATCCAATCTCTGTTATCCAGTCCCAGCTTCTGGCAGTCAGAGGATTAGGGACACCCAGAGCATGGGTTTATGTCCGTGACCATCTTGGCTAATAGCCTTGATGGACCTACCCTCCGTAAACGTATCTAATTTTTTTTTTTTGAACCCAGTTATACTTTTGGCTTCACAACATCCCCCTGGCAATAAGTTCCACAAGTTGACTGTGTGTTGGGTGAAGAAATACTTCCTGGTTTGTTTTTAAACCTGATGCCTTTGATTTCATTGGTTGATCCCTGGTTCTTGTGTCAAGGGATGGGGTAAATAACACGTCCCTATTCATTTTCTCCACATCAGTCATGATTTTATAGACCTCTATCATATTAAACCCCTCCTCCCCCAGCAGAAGAATCTCCTCCCGAGCAGGGAAGAGACCTGAACTGAGTTTGCTGTGCCAGATAACCTCAAAACATATGTAATGGGCAGGTGGGTGCTGAGGTAATATTATGTTAAACTCTATTATTCCCACCCTATTTCCTGCACTTCAGTTTTACCTTTTTGCTGCAGCACAGGTCAGCATTCTGTCTCTTCCAAAATGTTCAGAAAGCATTACATAGAGTTAAATCTCAGGGCTATTGTATGTAAAACCTTGAATATAGTTAACAGTCCCTAGTCAGCTTCAAAGAAAGAGAGTATCATACAGTTTCTTAGTAATCAAACACTTAATACACACAAACTTTGTAAATAGCATTTGGAATACTTATGAATAACTTTTAAACAAAAGCTATGAGATAGTAAAGTCCTTGCACTTTGGTATCTACTGTCGAAAAGTGCTATATAAGAGCTACATATTAGACAAACTTCTCCATTTTGTTACTTTTACACATTTAAATGCAAGATTTCAATATTTACAAAACACTTACAATTCTCTGCACACACAAACACCTCCCCTCTGATTTTCTTTCAGAGATGATTTCTCAGGCTTTATTGTACGGCCATAATATATAGTGTGTGTGTCACTTTGTAGCTACAACATCACCGGCTCATTCATCTGCACGTCCACCAATGTTATATATGCCATCATATGCCAGCAATGCCCCTCTGCTGTGTACATTGGCCAAACTGG